ACTGTGGCTGTTCTGGAGATATTGGGAAACACGACGAAGGCAAAGACACTACATTCGATATCAACACTCAGTCAGTCGGTGGAAGTCTTTCACAGCAGTTGAATTCGCATGATAGATGCACAATGAGCACATAGAAACTCTACCAACATTTCATCTCTCGAAATTTGTGCGTCCGTATTCAATCAATCAAGTGTGTTGAAGCAAAAGTAGATAGACAGCTGGCAATCGCCTTCACGCAGTAAAACTGCTCCTTTTGTGACCGTTGTCAAGGTTACAAGCCAGACGTTAGAGAAAACGCGTAAACTGCAGTGGAAAACCCAGGTATACGCAAGTATCGATAGGCTGAGATAAGGTATCAACGAAAATCAGAGCCTACGAATGTATATCTTTGGTGTGATCACTAAGTTGCATTCCGACTGTTCCAGAAAATTCAGCATGATTCACCAACTGATTTACCTGCGTTCACCCGTTTTCAAAATTGAGATTGACATCACGTGCCCCTCAGATGCCTACCCAATTTATAGTCGTGATTGACGTAATCAGCCCATTCGACCATGATGGCAGACAGAATTTCAGATAGTAATAACACCACACGACGATCTAAAGGGCGTGGCCGGCTTCGAGGATCTCTGCCCCCGAGAGATGAAGCGGCAGGTCAGCCAATTCATCGGGTCTGAAGTATGTCAGTATGATCCATCTTAGGACCATCTCAGAATTGGGGAATTAACGTGTTGAAGTGGATTCAAAAATTCTAGTCTGAGGTGTGTATACCATCTGGCAAGAGTGCTGCGGCCTTTTGTACTGATTGCGTTGGTTGTTAGCCGAGATGGCTCGGTGGTTAGAGCGCAGATTTACCGGCCAGAAGATCCGTAGTTCCAACCCAACCTCTGCCAGGTGCGCCAAATTATCCACTGTTTTCAACACTCCGCGACACTCTCCAGGTCGTCCTGAAGGCGTCAACACCACTTCGAAGTACTCACTACATCTTTTTGACCATTTTGCGTTACCACGTGTTGTACCCAGGCGTGTCGCAAGCTAAGATCAATTTGCCATCTCCTCTGGGCTTTCTTTGGACTTGCACTACTTCGTTCAACAGTTTAGACGGAAACCCCCATAATTTGAGGTTTGTACCCCTTTTATTACGTATTTTATACATGGAGTACCGCATCTTTCGATAAACCTCAAGAGTCCACAATTTCTGGCTTGTGATTTTGCGCGTCACTCAAGTGGGCTTTCCTGAATGTGTCGAAGTATTCTACGTACGCTTCCTTCCAACACTTTTCAAGCCAAACTAGCTAGTCGGTGTTGTCTACTTTCACATTTTGGATGGCAATCACAGCCTTCCATTATATAAGGAAGAGTGTGAAACACTTCACAATAGCGCTGGCGCGGAGGTTCACCAGCTCCCTGAGTACCAAAGGTTGGCTGAAGACTTTAGGTCGCCAAATCTCCTGACAAGTTTTACTGCACAGGTTCAACCAAGAAATTGTTCTGCTTCAAATTTGTCATGTGTGCAATTGTGCGACGACTGCCGGCCGCGTGATATTGCGGCGGTAAACGTTGGAAACTGTCGAACAAACGGACATGTGACCGATCCTGATGAAGACTACGCAGTGGATGCCTTTCCAAGGACTAGCCAATCCTGTTGCTCCGATTACTGAAGTTATACGAATGCTATTCCGCATGAGGATCACGAAACAGGCCCAGGGAAAATACTTGATTGTGCAAGATTCTGCATCGACGCGGGTTTTTTTACTCCACTTTATTCCTAGTGAATGATTCCTGCCTGCTCTGGTCGATAGATAGAAAGATAGAGTAAACTCCCGAACAAATGTGTATTGAAGCCTTAAAACCCTGGAATTCAAAGTAGCTTCTCCCCATTATGCGTACGTTGATTTGCTTATCGAAAGTCTACCCACATCAACCAGTCAATAGAGCGAATGATTCGGCTGACAAATCCTATTGTTTTGATCGCCTGAATGACGTTGATCGGCTTATTGAATGACACAAAGTCGGAAATTCTGCGTTTGATTATTACCGCTGGGTAGCGGTAGCACCTGCCGCATGGATGCTTGGTCCTTTAAAACAAAAACGAAGAAACTATGGCTCGTGGATCCAACACAACTTCACAGAATCAGATAGATACCCTCAAACATACTTGTTAGCCAATGCAAATAAGCACACTTGTTGAGCCAACATGAGGAAAACTTGCCTCTTTTGCTATGAAAAACTGTTGGCATATGGATTTGGTTTTGCGAGAGAGTCATCTGGAACCCAACTGAATCCCTCGTTTGTGATGTTTCCAGACAACCGAATGTTCTGCACCAGGCCGCCTCGAGTTTCAGTTGCTACGGTATACAAGGTATCGCGATACATGTATATTTGTAATGCACTACTCATAAGGTTGCTGGAAATTCTCCGACAGCCCACGACCGGTTTCGCCCTTCTTGGGACTCATCAGATATATACAGGAGTATACATACATCAAGAATATACATGTATCACGATATCCCGGATATCGTAGCAACTGAAACATGAGGCGGCCTGGTGCAGCACATTCAGTTGCCTGGGAACATAACAAACGAGAGATTCTGCTGGCTTCCAGATGAGTCACTCGAAAAACCGAATTTGTTTGCAAAGGAGTGTATTTCGCTAACTTCGTTCAATCTGGTTTCAACCTAAAGTTAACGGAAACTCGGAGACTGCGCCTACCTGATGAGCCCCAAGGAGGACGAAACCGGTTGTGGGCAGTCGAAGAACTTTCAGAAACTTTATGAGTAGTGTTCCTTCCAAAGATTCATTGTAAATATTCCTCTTTTAGACCTGAGTATAGACCAGTCACAGATAACCAGCATGGGTTTGAGCAAAAAGTTGAGCACACAAACAACACTACTAGCGCGAAAATGCACCGCCATAGACATTTTAGAACTGTTAGAAAATTTTGAAGGCTAAAATGCGGAACAAACATAAACCGGTTTCGAACAGTCAGGAAAATGCATACTTTTGAAACAAAGACAATTGAAAAGTAAGGGCTCATTGATATCACAGACGAGAAACAAAGTGGGATCCTATTTGAGGAAGTCAGATAAAACAGGATGTGAGGGCGAGAATGGGATTTAAGAGGTGTCTTTCGTCAGAGCCTGCATATCAGCGTCTACCATCAGCTGAATCAGTTGTCGAAAGTTACAGGTGGGCTCCCATTTGAGCTTTTCCCGCGCTTTCGAACCATCCCCGAGAAGGCAGTCCTAGAATGAGAAGACGAGATTTTTGAACGGACACACGAAAAGCCACTAGTCGAGATCATTGTACCTATACAGTACGAGTATATACAACTGTTCTATTTCTCTTTCGCTCACTGCGACAAGTGGACAGTCCCTGGAGAGAAACACGAGGTTAGGTCGTTCCGCCATAGGACTTATTGAGACTTCTTCGTAGGTTTAGGAGGGGAGATAGTGTCCGATTGGGGAGAAAACAGTATTGCAGTGATGGAAGATGCAATCATTAAAAGTAATGCGGCGTCGCAAAGAGACTGCCTTATCCTGGTGCGACTGACGGCGTACCTCAGTAAGACCTGGGGAGTGTTCGTGGAGCATCCACGGTCACTCCTGTCGGGTTGGTCAAACAGGTTGGTTGACAAACAGTCTCCTGCACCTTCAGGTTGGGGGTTGAAACAAGTGTGGCACCTTGTTGCTTAAAGTTTGGGCTGCTCGAATAGTCTCAAACCAAGCACCACTGCCTTTTGGCCAGGCTTTTGAGCCAAAGTCTTTGGTTGACGACCTTAATCAGTCTCCTGTCTAGGGTTGGACACCCTAGTATTAGCTCAGCCCACATATAACTATGATGGTCATCCACCGGTATGTATTACTCTAGTATTGCTGTTAATGTTATACTAAAGACTTCAGGAATCGGGATTCTATGCGATTTGAGGACACATTCCGGCCGAAATATAAGTCACGGGCTCTTGACTTTCTTCAAAGTGAGAATTCCACCATATTATCTCAACCGGAGCTCTCCCCTTTTATAGTAATAATAATAATAATAACAATAATAATAATCGTTCAGCTGTAGCACCCTTTCGGTGCCTAGCTGACATGCCACACCAAAGGGACACGAGGGCTGGGATGCTGCCAGGTTGCCCAAGCATAGACAGGGGAAGTCGAGTGGCAGAGGTCGGGTTTGAACCATTAACCTTTCCGGTCTGTAATTCGCGCTCTAACCACTTGAGCCATCTCGACCTCCCTTTTGATTCATGAAAATATGGGATCGAGTACATCGTCTGAAATGGCCAGATCTGTTCCAGGCTCACCAGTTCTCCACAGAGCGGTGCGTAAGAACGACACGCGACCATACACAAAGCAGTCATCACCACGGACATAAACATGAAAACAATGGGGATGGATACAACAGAAAAAAATCGTGGTGATACGACTCCCAACGCCTACAACAATTACTCACCACTTCGGCAGGACGAAAGTAGCGAGGCACCACGCGGACGCGTACGATATTGGTGGCGTTATCTATGCCAACTTCATCCAAGCCTTCACCTTCCCACCTAGAATTCACGGGGGAAAGAGGCGGAAGGAAACATCAGAACGCTTCAGAAACAGACAGTTTACCAGCAGCGATAACTTGGCGTGAGATTCTCTACTCTACTGAGAGGCTACCCACAAAGAACCAAAAAAAAACATCTTCACATTACTTCTACTTTGTCAACTTTACGAAGAAGCAACTCCGCAAACCAGCTTGGTGGAAATTAAGAATTACAGAATTCGGCAGTTTGGGGGGGGGGGGGGGAAGGGGGG